TTTTACTTAGAGACCGGGGGTTTCACAGGTGTTAAGCCAGTATGTCCGATGTCCTGACCTCGTGATCCGCCCACCGCAGCCTCCTGCAAGTCCCTTTATATCTTATTGCAAAACTTTCTGCTGAACGAGAGCTGCCTCCTTGTTTCAGGAGAATGCACTTTTATACCCAAAACTTAAAAAACATTATTATTCAGAAAAGGTTAAAAGAATTCCAGAGTTGTCAGTAAAGAAACTAAGTTACTAGGAATCATCATCAAATTTTGCCAACTCAAGATTACTGATTTTATTTTTGCATGTGTGCCAAATAGAGTGTTACCCACGCGGTTACAGATCAACAAACAATTTGCAAGAGCAAGTGGAAGAAAGCTGACTACTCGTTACTCGCTGCACTTTCCTAAGTTTGACCATTGAAATCGCGAAGATAGAAGTCACAGGTGCATGTTGAATATAAAAATTACCTCCTCAATATAAATATCAAGACAAAGCCACTTTAGGAAGCATTATTCTCAGATGTGTGCTGCAGTCGTTGACCAACCCAAATAAAAAATTAGACAGTGTAAACCATAAGAGAGCTGAAGAAACTGAAAACAAGAGCATATTTCACTGCAATTGTGAAACATAGTTAAGTGGTTCTTCACTGTTTAGAGAAAAACTGAAATGGTGATGAGGCAGCCAAAACCCCTCATTACCCTAAGCTCTTGTTTTTGTTTTGGTTTTTTGAGCTGAAGGCTCTCTCTGTCGCCCAGGCTGGAGTGCTAGTGGTGCGAATCTGCTTCAGCTCACTTGCAACTCTGTCCCTCTCAAGTTCACAAGTGATTCTCCTGCCTCAGGCCCCTGAGTAGCTGGATTACAGGCGAGCGCCACCACACCGGCTAATTTTTTTGTTATTTTTAGTGGAGGCGGGTTTTCACCACGTTGCCCAGGAATGGGTCTAGATCTCCTGCACATCATGATCTGTGATCTGTCTGCCTCGGCCTCCCAAAATGCTGGGATTGCAGACCTGAGCCACCACACTGGGCCCTGAAGCTCTTATATACACATTTCTAGCTGCACATCCAATGTCTAATATCAGCTGATCACAGAATAAACTCAAGAAATGTTTGCTTTTGAACATATAAATCATTGTTGTTATAACTGTAATCATATGAGAATAAATGGAAGATACTGGCATAAGCTATATACATATTTACATATATAGGTATGTGTCATCTATACATTGTTCATACAGATTTGAGCAGAAGAAAACGTTAATGAGCAAACCCTGACACATGGTTGCTTTATTTTTAAGTGTGTCCGAATGTCTAAGAAAATATGGAATAGAACTTGTAATAGGGTTTTAAGATCGATGCATAAAATACGTCACTATGTTTATGAAAGCATAGTCTGCCTGAGTTGTAACAAGTACAGAGCTCTGGAAATATGAATTCTTCCTTTCACACGCTGTTAAGATGTCCTGCAGGAGTTGAATGGTTTTAATGTTTCTGTTCTGTATGAAATAAGCCACATTCACGCAGCTGCAAACTCTAGCTAACACAGGTGAGTAATACGTTTGAGGCTGAAATGATTGTGATGTGATGCTTTAAAGTGAGGAAATGCGGTCCGGAGTCACTGGCTCTCAGAATTGGAGGGAAATTCATGTAGCGGGGAAGCTCATAGAGGATCTTGCTAAAGACTGAGTTAAATGGCCTGGAACTCAACTGACAAGCAAGTTAAAAAATCACAGCCTTCCTTCCTTCTCTAGCTCCTTTAAGTGAAGTATTTTCTATCTTGGAGGCCTCTTTTGAAATGCAATACTCCTGGGAGTGGCCACACCTTAAATTATCAGCTAACACTTTCTGAGGGATTAGCAGACAGCTGGCAAAGAAAAAGACGTGAGATTTAGCAAAATGCCTGAGGGCTGGAGGGGAGACACTGCCTGGAGAAAGGTTAACTAGTCAACAGTCTGTCGATTTGCTGATAGACAAATTTCACGTACTCCAGAGCATTTGGTCTACAGTGGCGACTCGCAACCTCTGGATTCTATAACGCCACCAAAAAGACTACAATTTCCCAGATTATCTTGCAAGCAACTTAAGTCCACATGGAATACAAACAAAACAAACCCACTATTGGCCTATGTATAATTGAAAATTATTAACTTTACTTAGAACATATTCAAATTATTTCTGAGGATTGCTTAAATATATGAGATCAGACTTTTTAAACCATAAATGCATTTTAAGAAGGTAAAGGACACAGTAAAAATACAGCAAGTCTAAATAAATCTACACAGTGAAAACTCATCAGATTCTTCTAGATTGCAACTAAGATACACTACAAAAATCCCCAGATGGGCCGGCACGGTGGTTCATGCCTGTAATCCCCATATTTTGGGAGGCCGAGGAGGGCAGATCACAAGGTCAGGAGTTCAAGACCAGCCTGTCCAACATGGTGAAACCCTGTCTCTACTAAAAATACAAAAATTAGTCAGGTGTGGTGGTAGGCACCTGTAATCCCAACTACTCAGGAGACTGAGGCAGGAGAATCTCTTGAACCCAGGGGGCGGAGGTTGCAGTGAGCCGAGATGACGCCACTGCACTCCAGCCTGGGTGACGGTGTGAGGCTCCTTCTAAAAAAAAAAAAATAAAAATAAAAAAGAAACAGATGCTCCCTGACCTAGGATTTTTTTACTTAACAATGGCACAAAAGCAACGCACATCCAGTGGAAACTGTATTTCCAGAGCTGAAATAACCATTCCGTGTTTCATTTTCAAGAGCCTGTTCAGTAACTTATATGAGATACTCAACTCATTATTATGAAACAGGCTTTATGTGAGGTGGTTTTGCCCAACTGTAGGCTAATGTAAGTATTCCGAACACATTTAAGGTAGGCTAGGCTAAGCTGTGACCTTTGGTAGATTAGGCGTATTCAATGCATTTTCGACTTACAGTTTTAGTTTACAATGGGTTTATAGGAATGTGTATTCGTCCATTCTCATGCTGCTATAAAGAAATACGTAAGACTGCATCATTTATAAACAAAAGAGGTATAATTGACTCACAGTTTCATAGGCTCTGCAGGAAGCACGGTTGAGGAGGCCTCAGGAAACCGACAATCAGGCAAAGGGGAAGCAGGCACATGGTGGGAGCAGGAGGAAGAGAGTGAAGCAGGAGGCGTCACACACTTTTAAACAACCAGAACTCACTATCGCGAGAACAGCAAGGGGGAGGATCCACCCCCATGATCCAATCACCTTGCACCAGGCCTCTCTTCCAACAATGGGGATTGCAATACGATTTTGGCAGGGACACAGATCCAAA